ACCTCTCACTACACAGCTAGTCTCAGTAATACTTCTACCACCACTCTCTCTCTCTCTCTCTCTCTCTCTCTCTCTCTCTCTCTCTCTCAACAGAGCCAATCCCACTGGTCTCCTTTACTGCACAAAATTGAACTGTTTCTCTCTCCCACCAAAGCCCCCTCTCAGAGGCTCTACTCTCTACAAAAACGCAAACTGTCACTCTCTCCCACCCAAGCCTACTCTCTATTTTATATAGAACATCTATGGTATGGGATTTCTATTCCGAGTGAAACGGGTTTCAAAAGGATACTAAAATTAATGAGTATGATGAGATTTTTCCTTATTTTTTGAATATGTCCAATTTTGTATTAAGCTATCCTTGCATATACAGGATAAATGTTAATTTCTAATTTTCTACGCTTTCTTAAATTTTTATATTTCATAAAAAGGAAAATAATAAATTTATTATTTTACAAATTTAAATTATAATTTTCTGTTGAAACTAATAAACCTATAAAAAAAGAAAGAAATTTATCATCAATAAATAAGGTTGACTTTACAGTTGACAGCATCAAAAAAATAAATAATTAAGGTTGACTTTCAGAAATATCTATGTTCAAATGAATAATGCCTTCTAACTTCTTTATATTTCTATTTTCTTAGAGTGTAAAATCATTCATGTAACATAATGAATGATGTTTGAAAAAATAGTTTAGTTTTATTTTGTATAATCATCTCAACAAATAAAATGAATTTTTATTTTCTTTACATTTGAATCTTATTGATTTTGTAAATAAAAGAATATATATTCTTTTAAGTTTTATTCTAATCACAGTTGTTTGTTGATTAAGAAATTTATGCACATTTAAAGTAACTTCGAAATACGCATTATCCCCAATATAACCTTTATGCTATATTGCATGCTACGTATTATGAATTTCCTATGCAGCTATGCTACCATCATGCAATCAATCAATTGTAGCCCTTCATTGCATAAATAAGTTTTTCTCTTCCACAAGTCGCTGCAGAGTAGGAAATTCTCCTTATGAATTCTTAATCAATAACTCGCCTTGCAAACTAATAAAGGATTATGACTAATTTCTACTCCTTTGATTTTCTTCTTAAAAAATAATTCTTGCACAGTACAATAGCAGAGTTATATATTCTTAGGAAAACATATTTATTTGGGTGTATGTATGTGCGTGTTTGTGAGTACTAGAATGAATTTAGATTTTCAATTGTTCAATCATTTTACTTAGTTCACCTAAATAACATGGAATATCGCACATCTACTTTAACTTTTTCCATGATAAAATTTTATTAAATAAGTAGTCTATATAGTCTATATGTTTAGTCTATTATATAGAATATAGACTACTTGGTGTATAGGCCAAGTCAGGCCGTTGATGCCTTGCCTAGGCTGGCTACCAGCATTAGGATTCAGGCCTCACCAGCCAAAATTAGGGGCCAGAGCTATATAGGCCAGGCTGGCCGTTGCCACCCCAAACCATATATCCAAGGCCAAACATAATTGTTACATGTGAATAATATAAATTCCATAGAGTAAGAAGCAACTCATGAGAGCAAATTTGAGTTAACCAAAAAATCACATGGATAAGAATAACTATTTCAATATCAAAATAGAAAGACTTCAAAATGCGACTATAAAAGATTACTCACACTTTGACTGGAGGACGAGATATTACGACAAGCATCTGCAAATCCGTATCCTCAGCCGTATTCCATACCTGTGTGTATTTACATAACAAGGTTGCAACTTCATATACACATGAATTTAATATAACAATATTGATTAAGAAACAAAAGCTACTCTTGAAAAGACATGAATAAAGAAAAAGGAAAAAGTTGATATAGAGCCAGGGCTCTAAACAATCAAATTAGAGCCCACCTCAAAAATTTCACTAGAAAAGTTTGTTTTGATGACCAAATATCCTCAAACTGATCATCTCGACATCAAGATGCATGGACATGAGAAAAAAATAGATTTCAAGTTTTCGAAATAATGCATCTTAGTAACATATTTTTGGACTGTCAATTTTCAAGATTTTGAAGTTTTCATAGATCTGCTCGATCTACTTGTTTTTGAAGTTTTAAATTTTCTAATTAAAGATGAAAATATATTTTAAGGCTATCCAGTATTGAAAGTTTGAACATTTCTCGACACTATTTGAAGGTGCGCTTTACTTTGATTGTTTAGTGCCTCAGCTCTATACAAACAACACCCAAGAAAAAATACAACATTTGGATCATGACATGTCCCTTAAAATGGACAGTGATGGAGACCGACCAGAGCAGATCATGTAGCCAATTGTGGGTCCCTCTGCCTTGCAATCACTGTCCATTTTAATGGATGGTCATGATGCCAAGGGACAACGGTTTTCTGAATCCATTGGATTATAGAATACCTATCCCAAAGCAAACAATTTTAGCAAGGATAACATGAACAAATAAACAGAAAGACATGCCAAAAAGCAAAGCAATGATACACATATCCACATTAAATGAAACATTGAGCATAGCACCACTATAGTGGTTGGTTCGAAGCCTATGTGGTAGGTCAAAAAGGTTAACTAAGAACCCACTTTTATTTTCATTGACTCTCTTTCATAATCCTTAATCCTGATGGAATACAATCTCCCAAATCAAATACACTTGTTTCTCTCTAAGGGCATTCAATGTTACTCTTTTAGCAAGTATTAAAAAACTTACCTGATGTACTGCATTTACAGGGATAGAGAAGGTGCTGTTTGGGAAAATAGAGAACTCATTTGGCTTTGCTGGCTGTCGCATATGCAAATCTGGGGCTAGGAAAAGAGTTCCACTCCCCTTCAAAACAACAAATATCTCTTCACACGAGTGTCTATGAATCGGTGTCCGAGATCCAGGAGAAAAAGTCTGAAGCCATAATTCAACCTAAAAAAATAAGGCAATATGAGCCCAAGCAAGTAAATTATTCATTTGCATAGTAACAAGATAAGAAAGAATAAACTAAGCATAGCTAGAGTACTGATATTCAGTATCATCATCGTCAAAGTCTTTTTCCAACTAAGCATAGCAACTAGCATTGCTAGAACATCGTTACTATATATATAAGATACTCTATAGTGTGAGCACCCTAACATAACCCTATATATAATACTTCAGTTATACAATCTTGTACAAACTCTTCATTTTAATTAATACTTCATTAAAAAAAAATTTAAGGAAAAAAAAAAGGAGGATTGATTGTAATGATCCAATCAACAACTTCATTGAGCATATAATAGCTTGTTTTCTAAATGACTACGTCAGCCAAATGCTGATTTGAGTTGCACCGAATCCCAAACTAATTTTATTTTTAAAAATTTTCAGAATTGATTAATATGGGCCTAGTCAAGTTATCAGTTCAAATGCTAAAGTCAATCAGAAAAGTTATATAGCCCCTGAATACTTGATAGTGATTTTAGAGGGCATAACTGGCTGCAAAAACAGTCAGAAATCTACCTTGGGTGTAGCTTCTCTGTTATCATATAGCAATAAAATTAGTAGACATCAAACAGGTAATTAGTTTTTTGATTGCCTCTACAGTTCAAATATATGGATAGCAACACTCATTTCGACAGAAATATTGAATATATGAGCATTTATTTCAAACAATAATACAAAGACCGATGACCAATATTCTACTAGGTGTTTGAAAACTGAGCGAGTTCGACTTGGACGTGCCCGAGGCCAAGTCAATAGGAACCAGCACACAGCCGGTTCTGGATGAAACCAATTCAGGTAAACTGAGTCTGCCCAAGTTTACCCATTTCTGTCCGAGTCTTAACAGGATCTCTGGAAAACAGTGATGGTTTTCTCCAAGCCATGACTTGTCCGATTTTCGGTTTACTAGCTGTTTCAGAGTTTTAAAGACTGATTTTACTTAAAGAACCTCTTTATTAGAATCCCCAACAACTTTAACTCCGTGAAAATCAGAATGGCAAGTAAATCATTGGTTTAGAACAGTGTTTTGAAACTCAGCGAGCTGACTTGGGACTACCCTGAGTCAAGTTGCCTTGGGACAGTGTCCTGATGTACACACTCGAGACACACCTGAAATCCACAATCTCAGCCCTTTATTATGTTCTTTTGCCATAGACTTGGCCAAGTCTCACTGAGACTGGGCCTAAGTCAAATGGCATGACTCGGACTCTGGACCCTGGCAAGCTTCAATCTGAGTCTGTGTTTCAAAATACTGGTTTAGAGAGTATTGAAGGCACCAGATTACCTCTTTCAATCCATCCAAAACAGCACCAGCAATGGTAATATGTGAAAGACCTTCCCTTCCAAAGTTATTCTGTGGATAACCACTAAGATTTCTAACCAGTGGTAAACCTACAGAAATAAAAGAAGAGGTAAGAGATGCACATTGCCAACAAATTTTAAGAAGAGCACTGGCTTATCAAGAAAGATTACACCTACTTAATTTGTCATTCTCTTTATGTATATACTGACTAAATGTTACTGTCAACTTTCAAAACAAAATAAGAGTCGCTGATACGAAGTCAGCACTTACTACATAGAGAACTAAACCGAACAATTTTTATGAGACGGTTTAGTCTTTACGAACATGGGAGTGGGATTCCTTGAGCTAATCTCTCTCTCTCTCTCTCTCTCTCTAAGTTGCCAATGAAATTATTAACGTAGAAAATATTTGTCTATACAGTGTTGAGCACATAATAAGTCTCAGGAATAGAAAAAACATGTACGCCAAGATGTAGAAAACAATAACTTCCAAATCACCAAAAATACTCAATTTAACCATCATCTCATATTATCATTCATAGAATCAAAACTAAAAGCATTATTGGACCCAAGTTTAACACAATTGTATCCTGAATAATCATTGGCAAACCAGAGTTTCGAATACATATGGAAAAAAAATATCAAAATCAAATCTACATTGGTGATTTACCCCCAAAAAAAAAAATCTTAATGGGTTCCTACAGCAGTAATCATAGAAAATTCCTGAATGACAACAATTGGATACCAGCAATCAGTATTAAATTGGTCTCAACTCAATAATTACTTACAATAATAATCTATTCAAAGGTGTGTCAAGTATCGATCCAAGTTCTTGGGTTCAACAGGAAATACGTAATCTCAAGAAAAACGGTATAAAATGAACCAATTTATCAAAAATATAGAGGTTCACGAGAACAAACATATAATCTCTAGAAAAAAAACCCAAAAAAGAACAATTGTATAATCTCAAAAGTCAAAATGCAAATGAAGTGAAACAATCAATCTAATTCCTGGGGTTCATCTGATGTAATTATCCCACAAAAATAGAATCACTAGAAAACCCATATCCAGAAAACAGTAAAAAATTCTGGGGTTAAGCGAACAGCAACAATATCTCTGAAAAATTGAAGCAATCAACACGTGTTCTTGGTTTTAAGAGAACAAGTTCATAGCCCTTCAACTACCCAAAAACAAAAAGAAGGAAAAACAAACAGATAAAGAGAGAGAGGAAACTGACATTTTAAATGAAGACATAGGAGAGAGAAAAAAGTGCAGAGAGAGAGAGCACTGACCTTTAATTAAACAGTGGGGTATTTGGTGAGCAGGAACCTTCAGAGGAGAGAGAAGGAAGAAGAGGAGGAGACAGAAGATAGCAGACATTGGCATTTAGCAAACCCCACCATTTGGATTTGTTTTCCAGAGCCTAATTATCCATTTCTGTCGAACTCAGGGCTAGTTTGGGGATAAAGAAAATCTTCAGGGGATATGACTGATTAAACAAAGAACAAAGACCTTCAGGAAAAGTTCTTTACCAATATCGTGGACACTAATTTACTGCTAAAATTACTTTTATTGCCTTTTTGATGTTTTGAAGTTCCAAAATGATGAAATTTCAATAGTGCACCAGACACTAGGAAAGCAAAAACATGGACTCGGACGAATTGCCAAGGTCCGATCCCGAGTCCAAATACAACTTTGAGTTGGGGTGGCAATGGACCCGGACCCGAACCCGGACCCGGACCCGACCAGAAACCTAAGGGGTAGACGCGATCCGGGTCTGAGTGTGGGTCCAAAAGTTGAACCCAATAGATCGGGTCTGGGTACCTAACCTGTTGTCCCCTATTTAACAACAACAAGAAGTTTGCAATTCTGAAAGACATAGGAGTTTAAAGACTCGGTGTGCGAGTCTTTAAACTCTTTTGATAGTCATCGTCATCTTCTTTCATGCTTTATCCATTCTGGGTGAAGTTGAGTACTTGAATCTTGTTTTACCATTCTGCTCTATCAAAAGTTATACTTTCAGTTATATCAAATATTTGAATATCTAATAATAAAAAGAATTAAGTTTGGTTAAATGTGTGGGATTTTAAATAAAAAATTGTGTTTGGCTTAAACTAGGCTTTTGTGAACCATGATATGAAGAAATTTGCTAGTTGTAACTTGAAGTTTTAACCGATAACAAAATGGAATGAGATTTTGAAATCATAACTCATCCACACTATGGATAACAAAATGGATTATTTATATCATATAAAAAGAAAATGAGAAAATATCCTATTATTCTCTATTTTTAACTTCTATATCTCATCAGACCCAAGCAAAATGACTCCATCTTTTTCTAAAACGACATTTTTATTGGACTTTTTTAATTGTCAAACTAAAGACCACCGTGGTTTACTGGGAATTTCGGCTTCTGGCACTAAACCCCCATTAGTGTAGCACATAAGTGGGCTTTTGTCGTGTCAAACACCTTAAATGGTAGGACTGGGCAAGTTAGAAAAATATATTAATGGTTATTTTATACTAAGGAAAACACCTCCTTAGTATAAGGAAAACATCTATGAAGTATTAGGAGTATTTATGTCAATTCATTTTTTGACTATTATATTTTTAATATTTTATTTTGGTGCAAGTTGGTCATATGTACACACGCCTCAACTTTTAAATAAATCTGACTGGTAAAATAATTATTAAAATTCAAGTACTACCAGACAACTTTGGCCATGTAATAGATTTTAGACAGTGATGAGATGTAAGTGAAGTACTATAGCACTTCACCTATAGATGTTTTATAGTTCCTTTTTTTTTTGGTACAAAAATGCTTCAACCTTGTTTGAATTTTGTTTAAAGGTATCTTTATTGTTTATAGAGGGCACAATCGATATTTATATAGAAAAATAAAAATAATTCATCAACTACGGGAACATTCATTTCCAAAATATCTATTTTTCTTTAACTTATCACTTATAAAAACGCTTTTAAAAACAAAAACAAAAAAGGGCAGAAACTTTTGACACTTTATTGCAAGTAATAAAAGCTCCGCCATTTAAAAGGTGTTGACATTAGAAAAACTAGTACTAAGATTGTGTGGTTTGTATAAGCCTTAGGCCTTAAAAATAAGGTACACCTTCAAAAAGTGTTGAAAGATGTTGTTTCGGCATCAGAAATCTTTGTTACGGTTTGAAAAGTTATTTTTATCTCTAACTATACAATTTAAATATTTGAAGTTAGTGTAGATTGAGCAGATCGATGAGCACTTGAAAATCTTGAAAATTGATAGTCTAGATAATATATTACAAGATGCACTATTTCCAATGCTTGAAATCTAATTTTTCTCATGTCCATATATCTTAAGGTCTAGATGATCGAATTGATGGTTTTTATATATCAAAACAATAACTTCTACTAAATTTTTGAGGTGCATCTTAATTTGATTGTTTAGGACCTCACTTTCATATAAACTTTTTCCTTCTAGAAAATAAAAGTCTTTCTTTTAAAAAAAAAAAAAACCGTCATAAAGGTACCTTGATAGTTGGTGTAAGTAATGAAACCTTATTCAAACCCTTGGATTTTCTAAGATTTTAATGAGATTGAGAAATCCCATGGTGCCAACCTCTATGGGAGGGTTTGTGTGTTGAATTTTAAAATTTTAGCTTGGGCAATGATCCGAAGCTAACAATCATGTTTGCCTTTGGGAAAGACCTTTTGAAGGAAGTTCTTCCTTAGAAATCCTGTTTCTCATGTTTGTTTCCTGAGAAAGTAGTGCTTAACGTATTTAGTTGGTTAGGTGCTTTTGATGCTTTCCCGAATGTTCTACACAATCTTTAATCATGTGAGAAACTGTAATCCTACTTGATATTATTAAACACAAGCCATATATTAAAGTATACTAAGGAATTTGACCCTATCCATTTTTTAAAATAGTTTAGCAATTAGTTTTTTGAAAGTGTTAATGGATGGGTGTCATTTGGAATATAGACCACAAGGTGTAGATTAGGGTGTGGAGGAGCTACCACCACGACCCCGGCCCCTTTCCTGGCATGGAGGTAGTTTTAGTTGATAAAATGCAGGGCCCCCTCATTTTCCCATATTTTGAATAGTTGAGAACGTGAAAGTCTACAAATCCATCATATCAACCCCTAGATTAAGATCCTAAAGAAAAAGTAGATTTAAAGTCTTGAAAATGTTCTATCTTGAATGCCATCTCAAATGAATTGTCTATTGTCTTAGACCCTAATTCAATCATACAAGCACTATTTTAAGGGCTCCAAATCCATTTTTATAGGGTGAATGGATTCACAGGGGTTTATACCAGGTTTTATAACGGTATTAGTGTTTCAATCCATGGCGAATTTTGAAAGGGGAGGCTTCTGTAAACCCCCGAACCATCATTAGATGAGTTTAAAGATACATTTTCCATTGAGCCATCAAGTTTTTTGATGTTGCTTTTTTGTTTTCCCAGGAGATCGCATTTATTGGTGAGTTATGTGGTGAAAGGAGATTTCAAACGAAGTCCAAGGTGGGTTCTTCTCCAATGAAATCACAATATTTTTCGGCAAAATTTGAGATGGGTTGTATTTCCTTGTGAAATCACATGTTGAGTTTGATATCTGACAAAATTTCAAAAAGATTTTAATTGTTTTGGCGATTTTAATTTTTTTTCTTTTCACGGCAAAGGATATTTCCATCCGTTTTAGAATTATTGGCAAGTTCTCAAGCAATGACTAGACTCCGGGATTAAGGGTGGCTCAAAAGAACCTGTATCTGTGTTTTTCTTTACCATTTCTCAATCAGGAGGACAGATTGGTACTTCATAGAACTCTGGTTTGCTTCACCATAGAATGGCGGAAAGACTATTGCCTTTTTGTAAGACTGCACATAAAAAAGCAGTGTGGTTTCATCCAAGAGTGACACTAGAAGAACCAGGCTTACCTGTAGTTGTATAGGATGAAGAAGGAGACAATCACGACATTATCTACCCAACACCAGAATCTGTCTCTGTGGCGATTGGTAATCATCTTGACTTTCGGTCCGATGATGAAGTAGAATTCGCGCCTCCTCCACTCAATGTAATGGAACTACGTATTGGAGAGATTACTATGCCGGGGTTGCTGGGTTTTCAGGTTCCAGATCTTCAGAATCAAGAGCATGTTGCAAATTTTGTGTTCCTCAATATTCTAATATGGATCAGGAGTAAAAAGCGACTTTTAAACTTATGGGTGTTGTTTTTGGTGATGGTTTGCCATTGATGCTTGATGCCCTTAGAGAGAAATATAGAGGAGAACAAATGAGTTTAACGATGATTTACTAATCTCTATTGCTATAGAAGATATGATCAATGAGACGGTTGTGAAAAGTGAAAAGAAGAAAGCTCCTATGAGAGGAACTCGTCGAACTCGTCATTCTGCCCGTATAGCTGCAAAATCAAAAGCGCATATTGGAGTGGTTATTTCTGAAAATCGTGGATATACAATTGTTTTAAGCATTGATGATGACAACCCTAGACCTGCCAAATTACAGTCCTTCACTAGAGTCGGGGAATGCTCTAAAGTTCATGCAGATGCTTAGTTCGAATGTGCATGGCTTGGGAAGCATACACTGAAAAAATGGGGTGTCTTTTTTTCCTCAGGACAGAAAGACTGGGTATCTTAATGCTACAGGAAACTAAGCTTGGAGATAAGGTCTATGCATTTATGGGGAAGGGGGTTCTTGCCATTTTGTGGGTTTAGATTCAATAGGATCTTTTGGGAGTCTTTGGTGTATTTGGGATGCATCTTCTTTTATTGTTATTGATGTTTTCTTAACGGATATAGACTTATTCGTATTATTTTGGAAGGACTTTTTTGCACTTTTAGATGGTTGTTGATAAATGTTTATGGCCCAAATGAGACTACTCTTAAACCTGCTTTTATTTCAAAAATGTCTGGTTTAATTACTTATTGTGGTTTATCGATATGCGTTGGGGGAGACTTTAATTTTGGGCGTTGGGATGACGAATCCACCTCAAATAATCCTATAAATTCCTCTATGTGTTTTTTCAATAGCTTTATTCAACAAAATGAATTCATAGATTTACCTTTGAATGGAGCAAAATTTACATGATTTAATAATAGTGTCACTAATCTTGTTATGAGTAAGTTGGATAGGCTTTTTGCCTCTAGTTCTTGGGAAAATTACTTTTTATTAGTAAAAATTATGTAGACACCTCATTTTAGAACTGACAAATTCTGTAATATTCATGAACCCTTAGGACTACACTATCCTAGTAAACCCCCAAACTATAGACCACCATAGTCTATATTGCCTGCTTTGTAATCCAGAATCATGCATAATATCTTGTTAGTAAAAAAAATCATTAAAAATAGCAAAACACCTCATTTTGACCCAAATTTTGGCAGGCATCATCACAAGAGCCCGTAGATCCCCCCATACCTGGAAATTTGCGATTTTGGGCAGTTTTAGTCTGGGTGACACCACCATTGTCGCCCAGTCCAGCCAGACCCAAATTGCCTGATTTTTGGCAAGTAGCATCCCGAGA